AGTTAAGTTGCTGTGAAAAGAGCAGGTTTTATATTCATTTTAAAGTTTTGGGGTTTTATATTTGAAAATTATATAGTTTTATTCGGAGTCAAAGTTCAAAATATCTTGTACTTGAATTGTATATGGTTACGGACACAACATAATATGTACTTGTTTAACACTATGTCCAGCAGTATTTTCGCAATGTCTGCCTAATAGCTTGTTTCTGGTGATAACTTCACACAATTGTCTTCCAAGCATTCGTAATGAATTTATTCTGCTAAGATTATATACGTTAGATTTGATTCTTACCAACAAAATATATGTAAATTATGTCAGGATTTCAATTATGTTACAATGTTGTTTCCGGTCTCATTTGTGTGTCAAATTATGTCTTTGATGAAGATAACTTCTTAATTATAAAGATCGAAGCCATCGATTCCAGAGCCACGTTTGATTTAGTTTTGAACTCACTTACTAGGTTGTACGTTACTCGACTTGCGACAGTCTATTTACTCATTTTCATATTTTTCAGACTTCTAATACTGATTAAAGTATGCCTGTTTCTTAACACTTGTGGTCCTGCATCCAGTCGATAGCTTTATTTTGGTATTCAAGAGGTAGTGCTTTTCTCAGGCTGTTTATGATGTTTTACAACAAATTAGTTATTTATAATTATATTAACAGTGCGTATAATTATAGCTATTTAAGATAAGGGGAGGGCTGAGCCCTAACAATATGAAAATAAGAACATTGCCACATTCATTGTATGTTCTTGTTCAAATTAAAAGACTGTATATACTCCAGTGATTGTTGTTGGTCGTCTGTCATAATATTATTCGTTTAACGTTATTAGTTTTCATTTTTTAATTTTTTTCCCCCTAATCTCCTGAAGATAACGATACGACGTGAGTTCTGCTAAGTGTTGAGATGCAACACCACCAAAACATGGTACGTCACATCCGGTTTCATACGAAAAAACGTCGAATAAAGTATTCCCTTGAATTTGACAGTTGCAGGAAATTAACCCTGCATTTCATTGACGGAAAATATTTCTGAGTCATAAACATATATCTTATGTGTTACTATAAAATATTTTAGAAACTTGAGGCGACATTGATACTACCGCTTGTAAACAGGAAAGATAAGTTATGAAAATTTGATTGATTTACTTCCGTTGATGATTAGTTTCTTATATGCAATGAAATATTATGTGAAATTTTCACTGTGGTACTGGACAGGATAAAATTTTACTCGTTCTAAGTATTTCATTATTTAAAACAAAGATAGATTCTGCACATTATTTTTGAAGAATGCTATTTTAACCCAAATAGTGGTACAAGTTTGAGCTTTCTAAAAAGCTGTGGACTAATTCGCTCTATCCTAATTTAAGGTAATATGTGTGCATGTGGTTGCTGATTTAGTATAGGAAATGTGGTATTTTTAGATATTGATTGATATAAAATGGATGTCTTAGACTTGGAATATCAATTTTTGTATATATATTAAGATGAACTTTTCTGAAATTTTAAACTGGCTGTTCAGTGTTTAGTTGTCAATGTGTTTTTGTGGAGTGTGGTTTTCTAGTTCTTTCAGCTGGTCATTGACTTGCAATTTTGATTGCTAGTTCTGTATATAATTTATTTAGATATATATGAATGTTTAGGTGTGTTGATTAAGAGTAACATGAAAGCTTGCAATGCGAAGCAATAACATATAATTGTAAATAGCAATACATATTTAGTTTCAGTGAAAATTATGCGGTTCTACTTAAAGAGTGTGCGTTTTACACCCATGCTTTTAAAATTTTGTTCACTTAACTTGTTGAAAATTAAAACATTTACAAATAGACACGACTCTGGAGGTGTGCCTAGATTGGCAGAAGTTATAAAATACAGATGATGCATTTTTGTAAACATTGTAAAGAAACATTTGTTTAGCAAAACAAATCGTGCATATTGCAGATTAACAAACCAAATAAACACGTATTACAATTGATATTTCAATATTGAATTTCAGTGTGCAATATATGCATAATAAAACGAACATGAATTAATGACAGTTGATCAGAACTGAAATACACATAGTTAATTTTCCGGCATTTGATGTCTTATCCTGAGACGAGAAAAGTCTGTAATTCTTTATCTCATTTAAGCCAATAGCTTTTGCTGTATCTCAGCTGCATCATAAAGCAACCAATCAGAATCTATATGTGATAAGTAATTATTTCAAGATGGCGTGTATACCGACTGAAACTAATAGCTCCGCACCGTGATGCGAAGCAATTACTCATTGAAGGCTGTACGGTTATATGAAGTTCTTTACATCTTTGGACTTTTTTTTATGGGTATTTCATTGACAATTTTATCATGTCATCTTCTTTTGTTATAATTTCTAATTGTATTATTTTCTTTAGCATTGAGTGTTACTTTACATTCTGGCCATCGTATGACGTTTACATATATACTTTAATATGTTACGTTCGTATACGAACTTTACTAACAGGAATGTGCTCCTTACACAAATAATGCTACAAAAAAGTTGTTAAGAAGAAGGACTGAAGTCGAATCTGCATACGTTTTACGGTCACTATCGTGAATTAGTTGACCGATACAGTGTGACTGTATCCCCACTCACTAGCGACATCTATTCGCGGTCTTCTATCTTTAGATACTAGGATAGTCGTCCTTTCTGTAATTTTACCGATTTTTTCCTATTCCCAATTAGGACATGTTGACGGAGTGTTGATTTGCATGGCCGGTAATGCAGACATAGCAGATATGCTTACCATGTCGACACACCTGGTCCCGCCCTTTTTGGTGTTCATAAGATTCCCTCAGTTTGTGTTTGTTGCCTTGTATCTTTTGAATCGATTAATGAGATTTGAACATCGGTAAACTCTTAAACTGCCTAAATTTGACTAGTATTATATGAATCTTGCAGGTTCGTACATCCTAAATCATGTGCAATTCTAATTTATTTTCTGAAATTCTATACTTGAAACTTATATATAGGATAGATATACATCAGCTATTCATAAGTTTTACTAGTCTTACATTGATGTCTATCATAGTATTTTTGTTGTTTAACAAACTCATATATCAACTGTAATTTTAAACTTTATTATTCATTATTATTTAGTAAAAGGGATATTAAGATATTCCGTCATGGAATTTGGCACTTTTACGTTTTAAAAACAACATATTAATACGAAGTAAAAAAATTAATTTATAAAGCTTGAATTCAGTGAGTTATATTAACAGTTTTATCAATCATATCATTTACGCATGCTTTCTTTTTAAAGTTTTAATTTCTTTCACTCCTGAATACAGTCAGACTATATATACAAAAAAAAATAAGAAGATGTGGTATGATTGCCAATGAGACAACTCTCCACCAGAGACCAAATGACAAAGAAATTAACAACTATAGGTCACCGTACGGCCTTAAAAAATGAGCAAAGCCCACTCCGCATAGTCAGCTATAAAAGGCCCAGAAATGACAAATGTAAAACAATTCAAACGAGAAAACGAACGGCCTTATTTATGTACAAAATAATGAACGAAAAACAAATATGTACATGTATATATTATGATCAAACGGGTATACATGTTTAATACATTTTACGAATATTGTAGAACAATTTTTGAAATATTAAGTGACCATGCAATCATACTAGTAAGGAAATCAAATATTCGTCGTTTACTACAGACTGACATTACATGCAAACTCGGAGTTTTAAATGCAAAAGTGTTTTGTCTGAATTTTGAGACTATTCACTGTTTCCAGTGGCTAGTCCCAACTAATTCTGGTCAATCCATCGTATATTGCCTCGCTCGATTGAATAGGACCAATGACGAATGCTTACATTAGGTATTCTATAAGCCTTAGCTTGTCATTTTCTATATTTGTAGGCATGTCTTTTTTCTTTTTCTTTTTTGCCTGTTTAGAAAATGTTCCTTATGTAGGTTTTGGATCTCCTTGTAACTATTTAATAAGGTTCGCAAGGTTTGTTCTCTTTGTAACTATTTAAAATGTATGCATTTACTTGACAAAGACCAAACCTCTAGAGTCTCTTATATTTTTCCATTTTTTAGGGGGAATTTCCTACATTTTCCTCTTTTAGTCAAATTTTTCCTATATTTAATATAATCGCAAAAAAAAGGACACAATTAATGACTTAATGGCTTAAATTGTATATTGAGTCAACTATTTATTTCCGTGAATAGCGAATAACTGTGTTATCATTAACAGTTACTTCAGAATAAGATATGTATTTCAGTAATTACAGTTATTTTCAGCATTTGTTCTTCCAAAAAAGCGTTATATAAATTTAAGGAAATAATGTAGTACAATCGGATACTGCTAATTATTTCTAATTCACCGGCTATTGACAAGAACTTTATTTCCATGTTTGGAAGAATTCGCTTATTGCTCTTTGTGTTAAAACAGATCTAAGAGTTTTGAACCACTGTAAAAAAAATTAGAAATAAAGATAAGGGGAGTCACTAGAAATTTCGGGGCAAAGTAGCAGCTGTAAGCGTGGTATTTCAAACCATCTAACAAACGTTACTCAAGCAAATTTTTTGAGGTCTCAAAGTACCCAGTTTACATAAATCAGTATGAGTTGTAGGTCCTGGGTGTGATAAAATATGAGAAACATTTATTAAGGACGTGTCAGTGTCCAATTGCTGTAGATTTTTAGCTTTTCAAAACAATAGTCTTAACATTTTAATCTAGGTAGCACTTAAAATCACAAAAATTTTAACAAAAAAAAATGCTTGACAAATTCATATTTGTTTCACTTCGGCATATCTGTATTCCTTCTGTACATATTGCACAAAATTATTTTAAAGCATTGGTTATTCTTCTATCCCAAAGTGTTGAATTCCTAAACATATCCTAATTACATTTCGTTATAAAGTTCGGGATCATTATCAGAGCAAGACCTGAGATGCTGTGTTATACACTTAAACATTGTTTAACAGTTATGTAATGTTTTAGGTCGATCCTTATGGGAAATTCACCAGAGTGTTTCGAATATATTGTGTAAGTAAAATGTATTATATTTCAACAGTATAGTATGAGTTCAATATATATTATAAACTACAAACCATAACCGTGACATTTCTTCAAGCTGAGACAATTTCAATAGATTAACACGTGATCGGTTACAAGAAAAGTTTCAACTGCATCAAACAAATTCAGTTCGTATTTAAATATTTAATTGGACAAATCTTATATTAAAAGTAAAACGCATATGTTCCTAAATTTAGTTGGAACCTACTTTAGACAAATAATACATATCAAATAGTATCCCCGAAAACAGCCAATTGAGAATGCCTGGTTTTTTCTCTAAAGAGATTAAGGATTTTTTTTCCGTAGATCTATACAGGAGTTGTGCTGGAGAATTTATTGGAACGTTATTGCTTACGTTTATGGCAGTAGGAACTGGTATAACCAGTCCCGGTGATCCCGTTGCTGCTTCAATAGAAGCTGGTTTCTTCATTGGTTGTGCAATCAGAACATTATCAACTGTCAGTGGTGGTCATGTTAATCCAGCTATCAGTATTGGATTTCTGGTCCTTGGACAAATAACAGTTATCCGTTTTATATTTTATTCCATCATACAGACTCTCGGGTCTGCGGCCGGTGCGGCTTTACTTAAAGCCATAGTACCTGCAAATAAGACAACCAATGACTTAGGAATAATATTTCCCGCTCCAGGAGTTAACGACGCACAGGCAATAGTTTGTGAAATGATTATTACATTCTTTTTGCTTTTCGGAACATTTGCCATGATTGATCCAAAGAGGATAGACATCAATGGATTTGCACCATTCCAAATCGGACTTATTGTTGTCATCAATATAATTGCCACTGTATGTATAATTATTTCATTGAATTTCGTTTTATTATAATTTTTTTTTTTCAAACTTGGGACAAAATCCTAAACACATTTTATGTTTATGTTTAAATCGGCCAAAATAACTTGAGGTTCATAAGAGCTGACAGTTTTCACAGATCTAATGGTTCTTTTGGTCTTCTATTAAAAAAATAATTTTCAAACGTATCCATGAAAGTTTGTACTAGAGTTTCGCATACTTATCTGCACACGTTGTTGGTAATCATGACAGGGGCACTTTCCAAATAAAACTATTTTTTTTTAGAATGCAGACATTTGGTTCCATAAAATTGAAACGTTTTCGAAACCCGATTCCAATTTAGAAATGCCAATAATTTGGCGATTACAAAGTCCCCGTAATGAATTAAACTTGTCAACAAAGGACTGTCGTTAATTCTATTCGAAGACATTTTCGAAATGGTCAAACTCGATTGATCTGGTAGGCAATTGTCCAATTATACGATGAAAATAAACCAATTTCATGTGATTATCAGCCCTTTTGAACCCTAAAATGCAATAAATGAAATTGAGAATGGAAACAGAGAATGTGTAAAAGAGACAAGAACCTGACCAATAAAGTCCGTTTCAGGAAACATTAAAAAAACAATGTGGATAGGGACTAGTGGACATCTGCGACTTTTTTCAAAAAAATATTACGATTAAAATTGATCGTAAGTTATACTGAAAAGTGTATGACTTTAGAGTATTTTTACTCTTAAGATTTTTTGTGAAAAGAGCCGCTGACCAGTATTTCTACTAAAAAAATACCGGTTTATAATTTTGTAATTTTAACAATTTTGAGAGAGAAAAAAATCGGACATGGATTTCTAGTGTCCATTCTAACATGACTTTTTTGTTATTAGGCATGTTCTGACTGTACACAATACGAAATTACAAACAACGTATCTGTTCCATATTGGCTATGAAAAATGTAATGTTTGAAAACGAAGTAAAAACTGTAATTAACATAATACAATTGCAGTCACGTTATACCTGTGACATTTTTAAATTTACTTACCACTGAAAGTTCCAAGGTTAAAAACTTTATAATTACAGACAACGTTGCAGAATTTTACTTTTTCTTTTTCTCAATCTAATTAAAATATAGAACTCGGATTTCGTTATACTACGTAGTATAAAGAAATCCGAGTTCTATATTTTAATGAGATTGTCTTTTTCTTTTTAGCAAAACAATATCTTGTGAAAATTGCCATCAAGATAAGCTTTAATGAATGGGAGTGGTTTATAGCTAGGTATATTGTACATGTATATATGCCATCTGTCTTGTTGAATACTAAATGTTGACCTCTAGATGTCTTTGATTCTTGGTGTATTTTGTAAACTGGCTCAAGGGTTAACTGAAATATAGATATGTGATCACCAGGACTTCCCTCCTCCCCCAGTAGAACCAGTGCTAAAGATGGACCGGATGTCCATTTAGTTGTTCAAGATGCATAAATACATAACCACTTCAAGTCCAATCGGGGACGTTTAATCGGGTATCTCGACAATGGAGAGTATCTCGTTCTTTACAAGTAAAAGAATCATTACAATAACTTTAGGTGGAAAGGGAAAGTGAAAACTTCTACCAAAATCCAACATACCAACTTTTGCCAGCCTATATTTCCGGTCCTTCGTCATCTCGATCGCACACCTATGCCGAACCAATCTTTTGAATGCATTACTAAATGTCCTGACTATGCACGGAATATTTGCCACGTCTGGTTGTTAACCTATAAATGAATGAATCAATTAATATTTCATTTATTTGCATTGTATATTGCTGTCTCATAAGCCAATCAACCATTTTTTTTGTTTTATTTGCGTCTCTACGCTGTTTTTTCGTTGACGAATTCCCCAATACCTCCTTCATATGAGCAGTAAATCGATTGTCTTTTTTAACCTGTACCCAGTTTACCATACATTTAAATCTTTTATATTTTTTTAAATATGCTATAAAACCAAAATAATGTGATCGTGGGTACATGTAGGTATAAGATATCAAGTATCAACATAAAGATTTAATGTCACTTTATATACTTTACAATGATGTATGTCTTTTTGTAAGTTATATAAAACTCAAATGTGTCTCCTTTTATATGTAAATTTGTTATTATAATTATGTATACATGTATTTTGTTCAAGACGTGCATCATACATGTACATTCAATGACAAATGTATATGCAAAACTATAATAATCTGATACTATCTTACTTTTTTCTTTTAGTTCAACCTATCGGGTGGATGCATGAATCCAGCAAGAACTTTTGGTCCTTCGATTGTAGCTGGTATATATGACAAATCATGGGTATGTAATTATATCCTCAGTATAAATCACAAAAGTTTACCTACAGTAAACAGGGTCACGGTGGCCTTAACATTTTATAGTACATATTCTTAACATTGAGAAATATCTTCAACTCTCTTCGGACATTTACAAATATTGCTGGGTGTACTGAATGACATGAGCCATAGAATTTAACATCCCCATTCAGACTAGACATATATAAGCATGGTCGCATATTAATATATCCCGGACATTCAAAAGGACACCCCTCTTTAGCATTGGTTTTACTGCCGGATGGGAGAGGAATGAGCAAATTTCTATACCCAGTCAATCGTTAGGTATGAATAATTTATTGTTGATAGTATGTCTCCATATATAATTTGACGTAACGTTCATAGTTAACGTCGTTTTTCTCACAATGACGTTATACCTTCATAAGTCTGGAAATGTCATGGTGGGTCACATAGAGAAAAGCGCATTTTTCATACTTATTATTTTGTTATCATTTCAATTCAATCCAAACAAAAGGACCAAATACAATCGATCTCCCTATTTTCAATCATAACAAGATCGTTTGTGTGTTTTAAGATGACCTTGTTCGATAAAGACTATTCTGTGAATGCCGTTTATGTATTTGAGTTTTATATTTTGACTTTTGGTTTCCAGCAAAACCTACTATCGTCTATTACACAGTCACTAAAATACATTCAAGTTAATATAATTTGTGCTATTGCTGTTATTGTTGTTAACTTACCTGTGTTCTTCTGCTTACAGATTTATTGGGTCGGAGATATGTCTGGGGCAGTTTTGGGAGCACTACTTTATGGCAAAATCTTCTCTACAACAGCATGTAAACGTTGGATAAAGGCAGACATCAGAAGATGTAACGCTGGTGAAGAAGAGACCTTAGACGACAAACTAGCAACCTATAAAAAGACTGGCCCTGACGAAAATAATCATGAAATGTTCTAGTTCAATCCCATTCTTTAGTATACGATTTGCTATGGTTTAATCATTTTCCCATGGATGTTATGAGGCTAATATCTACAGAGGAAATAATTTATCTAATTTTTTATCTTAAAAATTAGTTCATTAATTTCCTAATTTCATTATATTAATGGAATAAACGACTAATAACAGTGTGCCGACGACGAGGTGGGTTTTTAACGACCTCGACTACCCATGAGAGTCTCGCACGGTCGGTGATTTAATACACACAGGATATTTATATTTTAGCTTAACCATATATATTTATATTTGAATTGAGTGTAAATTCTTTTTGAAATTGACCTTTCTTATGAAAAAAAAAAAACGGATTTATGTGTGACTTAAAAAATGTCTATTATGTTTACATGTAGCTGAAAATAAGAAGCTATCCAATTCCCTGGCTTGCAAGTGAAATTAGGATTTTATTCAAATTTTGTATATGCTGTATATTATATATGCTTTTTTACAGAATCAATAACTATTTCATTACTAGTTGCTTTCATTTTGAAAAGCTAAATAATGTGTACATGGAAATATCTAACATAACGTCTCGTGTAAAGTTCTGAATTTTTAAAATCCGGATATAATCTTCATAATACATGTATATTAATGTTTAAAGAAGTGAAGTGATTGGATAAAAATTGAAGGACTGACTCTCTTCATTTTTATAGGACGTAATATTGTGTATATAATACATAATTGAATTGTAAAAACTTTTTGAGAATTACCCTAAGTAGTTAAAAAATGGCGCGCTACTTTTTTTAAAAGTTAGTAAGACAGAGTTCGCTTCAGAGATCTAAACATTTTAATTTTACAAGATTCATTCCGAATGTATTTGTGAATTTCGTGGCATGTTTTAATTAGCTACAAAAAGCTTAAGGAAGCTATCCATCTCACTGGCTGCATGTAAAACTATGATTTTCTATTCTGTATATGCTGTAGTATATTATGTATGCTCGATTACAGAATAGATGAATATTTCAGTACATTTGCTTTTATTTTCAAAAGTTGCGTACTTGTTATATCTAGGTTTTAAAAAAAAATGTCTCATGTTTATTTTATTATTTTTACATATTCAAGAAATGAGCTACATTAGATATACATTAAACAATGACTAAAGGTTTCATTAACCGTAGTCTATCCGCAAGATCTCTTAATTTCCAATAAAATGGTCTACGTCGGTAGTTCAACCAACTGACCGAAATGGATGATGATTTTGTAAACTTGTTTTTACCTGGGAACAGTATATGTTCCTGTTTTTACTTAGATGGTCTCAAAACTTTAATTAAAGATTTTATGAAATAAAATGTAACCGAAATGACGAAAGTCATGCAATGTATATATCACGTGACAACACGGGTTCCCGCCGGGATATCACCTATGAAAATAAAGAACATATACTTTTAATCATCATTCAGCTTAAAAGTTTACACACAAATTTCACAGCTAAATACCCAAAATGTCTTCGTTTTCATTCCATATTTACAAAAATAAATAGTATTTTGTATCAAGTTTAAATATATTCTTATTTTTATCAAGGAGACAATTTCTAGATACTAGACAATTTATCTCATCTTATATTTTTTTCATTAAAAAGTGTGGATATTCTATTTATATACGGGAAATGTTTAACATAATTGTACTCTTATAACTTATACATTAAAATAAAATTGTACAAATAGACTTGTCTTTTTATATACTACTCCATAAAATTATCTATCGTAGTACTAGTTCTAGTAGTAAGATTTTCTCCCGATAAATCAATTGCCCTCAACAACGTGCACTTACTTTCTCATGTTTTTTTGTTAATTATAGCAGCATAAGCAGACTCGTTACACAAGCCCTCCCATTCAAAGAGGTATGAATAATATAGCTGTATAGGTCTGACAAAGTAAAATGTGACTATATGAAACCAATGGGTTGAAAACAAGTTCGCTTACAATTCAAGCATTCTGGTGATGAGTTGTTTTTTTTTTTTGGCAGTCATACCACATCTTCTTATTTTCATAAGTGAATTTAACATCAACGATTGGTTTTCCGAACGTCATGTGACATATATTTGATATATGTTCAGGACTAAATATAAAGTCAATCATCAAATAAGTAGGTACCTCAAAATGAGTAGACTGGGGTGAAGGTCAGGAAATCTAGACTGCTCCTGGAAAAACGGGAAATGCTGTATATGTGAAGAAATTTATCCTTGCAACAGTCCTACGGACTCCTAAAAGAGTAGTTGCTGCATAGTTGTTTATCTTACAGAAAGCACAGCATTCTCTCAACACGATTTACCTGATTTATCTATCGAATTCTAACCAGACGTGGCAGCGAATCCATACACTCCGCGCAGTCAAACAATTGTCACCTCAATTTTTTTTTTACGTATTACTGCCAACAGGCTTATCATTTTAGTACGCCAGACACGCGTATCGTTTACATAAGACTCACCCGTTGCGCTTAAAATAAAACAGATGGAAGTTCTAATCAAATACGAAGTTTAAAAGCAATAAAGAACCATTATTCCAAGCAGCTGTGACAAGTACGACTAACGTAATTTTTGCTTGGGGCAGAAAACCTTAGTTTTTCGAAGCAAGAAAGTAAATATTGTTTTCGCAAGCTCTCCCAAGTTTATGTTTGAATAAGAAAAGACTTTTGAAAGAAATCATTATTCGGATGACAAAATAATAAACAAACGAGGTGCAATATACATGGTGAAGATTCTGACAAATTTTGATGATATTCTGATTAGAGGTCTGGGAGGAGAAGCGAATACAGATGGCTATTGTAGTGTGCGGATATCACAAAGTCCATGTCATCCCAACATTTATTTGGATGTAGAAATGATGAAATAAGGAGTGAACAGTAGATAATTTGAATAAGAATCTATGAAAGTTTTACAAAATACTGTCAAGCGTGGCAGAAGTAGTAACTGTTTTCGTTACAAAATTGAGATGGAAGGATTAACGGACGAACGGTCGGATAAATGGAGGACAACACATTCATTTTATATAGCCCGATAAGCCGATTTTTAGAAGGCAGTGTCTGCGCGTACCCGCATGCGGGTACGAATAGTCAAATTGCCATTCATAGGCTACGCGTACCCACATCCGGTTTTATAATAAAATGCCATCGGATCGGGAATGAAACGTGAAATATATACGGAGTTTGTCACAATTAGTGAATAAATTGATTAAAACTACTCAGAATTTTTATAAATATTTATATATAGGTAAGTGAACAGTTTTTCTCAGTTAATAAATATTCTTAAAATGGAAGAGAGTGATATACATGTGGGGAAGACATTTCAAAGTTATCATGAATTGTAACAATTTGTTCAGAACTATCAGTCGATTAATTTTATACAATTGTATAAAAGAAACTCGGAGTCAATTGCAGCTGCAGAGAAAAGAAGAACTGGAAACACAAAAATTAAAGAGGAATTAAAGTTTAACAGAATATATTTTTCCTGTATTCACGGTGGCAAAAAATTCCAAACAAGTTCGACAGGAAAAAGACCTAATACAATGTATTTGTTTTAAATTGTAGTTTTTAATCTAATTTGCCGCGTTTCATTCATTTGTCAAGTTTATTTTTTTTATGTCGAATACTTCTAGTTTTTCTATTGTAAACCGTTATTGATATTAAGGATATGTCTACTTTTAGTACTTTCCAAACGGAATGTCCTTTCCACTTTAAACTTGTCGTAACTAAAGATGGACAAAACCCGATTGTGAGGGAATCACACAGTTCTCACAATCATGAGATCAATAAATGTTTATTTGACCATCTTCCTAGACAAAGGAAACTAGATGACCATACACTAGAAGGTGTGAAAAACATGCTAAAAATGAAGGCATTTTTAGAAACATTTGACGCAGCGATGCATGTGTTTTATGTAAAATTTTAGTTTCAACACATTTTAATTGTGAAATAAGTGGATTTATTTGACTTTCAAATTACTTCGACACTAAACGTATGGAAATTGGCGAAACGATTCATAGCTCTAAAATTTTTAAGTTATCATGTTCAAATTTAGAAAAATTCGTATCTAGTATCTAGTATCTAGTATCTAGTATTTAGTATCTTTATCAATGCTTTATACATATCCCACATACAATATAAGGTCTTAAAGGAGTCGCGTCGTGCGCTGAAGACCAATTGTTTAGGAAATTAAAAACATATGTTTGCCATTTTTTGCTTCTCTCTATCTTTTATAGTTTTGCAGATGATAACTGTGAAATTTTCTAAAAATGGACAAATCAGGGACAATATAAAATCAAAATAGGTTGTCCGATTTTTTCTGAAACTGTCAGGCTAGATATATATATGTATCTTGTGTGACCTGGTTACTATTTTCATCCTGTCAGGTTTTTTTTTACCTGTTTTTGTTTTGGAGATATAAGCCAAAAATAGCAGTTTTACCCCTACACTCTTGTTTTTACAATAGCGGTCCCGTTTGTTGGTAAATCAAAATCGACGACGACCGATGTCAAATAATGACAATAGCAAAATCTTGTTCAGCGCTATACGTATTGCTGCTGAAGGAATTTTTATGCCAAATTGCATCGCGTTACGCCTCGTACCAAATGTGAATTAATTTGTATCAAAAAGCAAATATATTAATCTTACATTTAGGATCCTGCTTATGCACTTTTATGATAATTACTCAAAATTTGCCAAAAGTCTGTCAAAATTTTGGTTTGAGTCCCATTTTTAGCCGATTATAATTTGATGATCTGTTTTAAGTTAGACCATACTATAATTTTGTAAGAACTTCAAATCGCCCAATATCATTATCAAACGTAGATTTGAAGATATTATCTCATGTTTTGGCACAGAGACTAAAAGAGCTTCTTCCTAAACTAATTAATGAGGATCAAACCGGATATGTAAAAAATCGGTTTATTGGATTTAATTTAAAGGCAAATCCAAGATATAATGGACTATGCAGAATCAAACGGAATAGATGGGGCTATTATATTTGTTGATTTTACAAAAGCTTTCGATTCTTTGGAAAGGGAATTCATGTTAAGCGTTCTAAAGCATTTTGGTTTTAATGAATCATTCATATCATGGGTAAAAACACTATATAAAGGAATACAGACGTGTGTGATAAATAATGGATGGGTATTCGAAATTTTTGAAAACTCTAGAGGAATTCGTCAAGGATGTCCTTTATCAGCTTTACTTTTTTGTTTTATCAGTCGAAATTATGGCCGAGCGATTAAGGCAAACCTCAGACATTAAAGGTATTCGTATTACAGTAACTATAGATAATAAAACACACAGCATCAAAATATCACAATTGGCTGATGATACAACACTTTTTTTGTAGTTCAAAATCAGATATATCAAGAGCTATGAATATAATTGAAACATTTGGTTCTTTCTCAGGTCTGAAGTTAAACCGTGACGGTAATAAAACAGAAGGAATTTGGATTGGGGCGCTTAAAAATAGCATAGATAAAATTGAAGGCATACGCTGGACAGACAAACCCGTTAAAGCTTTAGGCATTTATTTTGGTCACGACAAACACCAATGTGAAAAGTTAAATTGGGAACCTAAAATAGATAACATGAAATCATTAATTAAAACTTGGGAAAAAAGAAAATTAACAATAGTTGGGAAAATATTGATCATAAAATCTTTAATATTACCAAAATTTACATTTTTTATTTGGCTACTTCGTGCAAAGTTCCAGATATTTACCTAAAAGAAATTGAAAGCTGCTGTTTCAAATATATTTGGGAGGGAAAAATGACAAAGTAAAAAGAAACACACTTATCGGAGAATACCAAAAAGGGGGATTAAAAATGATTGATTTTAACAGTTATTTTACAGCACTGAAAGCTTCATGGGTCTCCAAATTAACAACAACCGAACGGCCGAACTGGAAGATTATTCCTACTAAATATTTTAACACTCTTGGTAAAAACTTTCTTGTCTTTAACATGAATTTAGATAACATATAAAATCACTAAATGAACTTGAAAACATACCTGATTTTTATTTACAAGTAATTTCAAGTTGGGTGAAAACAGGAGGAGGTTTAACAAAATTTTCTGATCACTTTTCGGGTATCAGAAAACAGATTATTTGGGGAAATAAATATATTAAAAATCGCAATAAAAGTTTGTTCTTCCCGAACTGGGTTAAAAGTGGATTGGTGTATATTAACGACATACTGGATAGTGAGGGGAAATTATCTGAAAGCTTTATTTTAAAAAAGTTAAAGAATAAATCAAACTGGATTGCAGAATTTAAGATGTTAAAATCTTGCATTCCAAAAGAATGGCTGCAAGTTTAAAAAAAAGAAAACTCCATTAAGAGTATAATCAATATATGTAAGGATAAATTAAACTTTGAAGATGGCAAAATAAACAAATTGAACCAAAATATATCAACAATAAAATACTATATAATACTTTAATAGATAAAAAATATGCAAAGCCAATCGGTATTAATATTTGGACAAGATATTTAAAATTAGAATACACACCACTTATGTCATTTGTATACGATTTTATATTTAAAATTTTAACAGAAAACAAGTTGAAAATTTTCAGATGGAAACTACTTCAGTATATTATTCCTACAAAGCAGTTACTATCTAGATGAAAAATATTTGAGAATGATAAATGCAATTTTTGTAAAACAGGAGAAGAAGATTACTTGCATTTCTTTATTACATGTTCATTTTTGAAAGATTTTTTGGGAGAAGGTACATTATCTTCTAGCAAAAATGAACTTTCATAACATATTATGGTTTTAACTATTTTTTTGACAGTTTTAGGTTTTTGTATTTACAAGTCATATTATGTCTCCGAGCCAAAACTTAAATTTTTAGATGTGTATAATATGTTTATAAAAGAAATACGAAGGGTTATGAATGAGAACACAACAGTATCTCAAAATGTATTTTTCATTAATTTAAACAGATTGATATAATAGAAAAAAACGTTTATATTTTATTATATTCTGAGTATTGTCCTGGATACTCAGAAAGTATTTCACAGGGAAACTTTATTGGAACTTGGACAGTAAAGTAAAATTGTAACAAGCATTTTGAAGAATAAAGAATATTTATTTGTTGTTAAAAAAAAATAAAGAACTTCAAATCAATTTTATAGACTGTAATAATGTGAATTGAAGTAACTTAAGATTGATAGACTTTTTCAAAATGGTATTGGCCATTCTTCTTTAATCTAAAAGAAAGACAAATAATTCAGTAAAACAATTGAATATGTTATTAGTTTTTACAAATTGTAATTTGTACAGAGTTTTTCTACATTAGTGTTTTACAAATCACTTAAATATACTTTAATTAGTTAGATAAAACCAAAGAAGTAAATAGCTCATAAAATGTTTATAAAATTTCAACAATTATCATACAACTACCTCATAGCATAAACATTATTCGTTTAAAATTTTCATAGAAATATTCATATTTGAAATATATAATGCCAACTACTTTAATTTTCAAACCTGCGATTTTTTAAAAACAATAACGGTTTGCACGAAGTGTAGTAACATTGTGTATAACAAATATCAACCATTGCCATTAAAATAAAGTAAAATTCATGGAACTGAATCACAAAGAACGACATTTGTATTGTCATCTTGTTTAACACCTCTTCAGTGCCTTCGTATCATCATCCGTACAAATTTCAAAGAATAATATGGGCCACGTGCTGAATTCCAACTAACAACGTTATGTTTATCAGATTTTCCTTTCTTGTAGAGTCCATTAATATTAACGTTGTGGCAATTGTTATACCACCAGCCAGCGTGATCTCTCGCAGAGCAGTCTACTCCATTGTATGCATCGTTATCCTGGTCATATGTTGAAAACTTCATACCATTCTGATAACGAAGACTGTCTCCTGAAGCGACAAATTGTCTGCATTTTAGAAAAAAAAAATAAACAGCTGCAAGTAAATTGTAAACTATAAATGATGATTTCTTATATATTGATAATGTCATGTTCATAAACGTAATGGATAGATTGCTTGGTGTTTTGAATATGAAGGGACAAATAGAAAAATGCATATTTGTGTCGTTTACATACTTGATAACGTGTTTAAGTGATCTAAATATAAATTTGGCATGAGACTGGCATGGTTTTTCACGTATCATTTCACGTGTGGTCGGTTTGGGACGTTAAATCCAAAACGTGGTGAAAAAAGGGTGTCACCCTAATTTCACATCAAGAAACACTTGCAACAATTGTCTTACGAATCTGCAGGTGGATTGTTGCAATATAGATATGTTTATTGGACTAGGAAACATTATTCTGCCTTCACGCCAAGCAGCCCTTTTCGCGTGCTTGGCGTAGAAGCAGCGATTATCGATTGCTATAGTCTTTGGACGGAATCGTCGGAGGTTCTAGGTAAACAAACTTCCACAAGACCTCCGGGGTTTAAAAATGTTGTGTCCAGTGTGAGCAGCGTTGAAAAAAAAACGTTGAAAAGACAAAAGTAAAATGTAGACGTTGTCTTGAAATCGAGCATCGAAATCTTATTTTTTGGTGATTTTGAATACCACACATATACTTAAATGATGTATCATACATCAAAATCGAAAACCTATCACGTAAAGAAAATTCGTACATTAGGCTATTGATAAATTGTTGAATTTTGCTACATGTTTGAGAGTATATAATTTACACTTATAAAATCTATATTTGCAGTTTGAAATTCTTTAGTTGCATTTAAAATGCTTTAAACAATTCAAACGAGAAAACTAACGGCCTAATTTATAACAAAACAACTTACGAAAAACAAATATAAAAGACACGAACCAAGGTCAACCACTGAACTACAGGCTCCTGACTTGGGAAAGGCACATAAAGAATGTGGCGGGGTTAAACTTGATTGTAAGAGCTCCACCCTCCCCTATCTGTGACAGTAGTGTATTAGTGCAACATAAGAACAAACTATAATAAATTGCTTCGCCGAGCGCAGCTGGATACGACCGCAGAGGCCCAACCCTGAACAGTTGGGACAAAAATGGACACAATATTCGCGCTTGATACAGGTCTGAATTTGGATTGTTATTCAATATTTGACACATAATAGGTTTCTGACACAGAATAACTGTAGTCAAAGAACTTAGAATTGGTTATATGATTTGAATTTATATTCAATGTTTTGCTTTTGTGCAATACACTATGCTGTTGCGAAAAGACCTCCCCCCTTTTTAAAAAAAAAATTGAAGGATTTTCTTTTTGATTTCTGAAATCTTGAAGAGAAAAATTGCCCCCCCCCCACCCCCACCACCAATTTTTTTTACCCCCCCCCCTCCCCCCCCCCCCCTCTTTCCAAAAAAATTCTTTCCCTCAGTCATGGTCATAATTTCAATCCAAATTTCTAATGGAGTTTGCAACCATAATAACTCATTTAAATACATCATAAAAGTCTTAAAATAGAAAATGACATACATAATCATAGCTAAAATAAATTTACCTTAATCAACATTTTTTAAATTATTAAAATAGTAACTTCTAAAAATGAATTGACAGCTAATCACCTCAAGAAAATACAAAAATTCTTTATACATAATTTAAAAGCAGTGTAAGGGAGGTAATTCAAAGTTGTGTTTGAATTACTTCCCTTACACTGTAATTTGTACTTAAGTAACTGTCCATTAACCAGGACACCCTTTTTTTTCTCACTTTTTTGCCCCTACATTTTTGTAATTCCTAAACGGTTTGAGCCATAACCCCCCAAAGCCAATCCTAAGCATCCCTTTGTGGTATGGAAACTTGTGGTATAATTTCAGAGAGATCAATACACTGTTCCACAAGTTATTGTCATGAAACAATTTCTAGATATAAGTCATAATCAAATTGAAAAATCAAAAGCTCAAACACATCAAACGAATGGATAACATCTGTCATATTCCTGACTTGGTACAGGCATTTTCTTATGTAGAAAATGGTGGATTGAACCTGGTTTTATAGCTAGCTCAACCTATCACTTGTATGACAGTCGCATCAAACTCCATTATATTGACAACGATGCGTGAACAAAACAAACAGACACAAAAGGTAAAAATGTCAAAAATAGGGGCACAGCAGTCAACATCACTCTCATTTAAGTACATTGATGAGTCGTATTCAGTAAATCTTTATTATACAATACTGGATTGACGAATGACTCTTATACAATACTGGATTGATGAATGACTCTTATACAATACTGGATTGATGAATGACTCTTATACAATACTGGATTGATGAATGACTCTTATACAATACTGGATTGATGAATGACTCTTGTTAAACCTTTACAAATTATCAAATTAAAAACATAATATCGGTATATATTATTCTCTTAAACTTGACCAAATATGAACGTTTGAAATAAAAAGTTTTCCTGGATAAAGGATAAAGGCTTTTACTGGTAGTGACAATACTGTCTTCGAAAAAATAAATCACACAAAATACATCATTAAAAGCTAAGGCAATATGCTTTAGTATTTCTAAAGTGAAAATGAATGAGATAAGTGTAATTACCGAGCCAAACATTTCTTTCAGGACTTCCAAAACCTTTCTCGTAATCTGACCAGGATCTATAAAAATTGGTTGTACCATCTTGTCTTCTCTGTATTACCTATAGTATTAATGAGTTAGAAATTAATTCATTATCAGTGTCAAAACCTTTTAAATCTTATGGGTGTTAAAAGAGGAACAAGGAAGGCTTTCAGTTATGGAAGATCTGCTAAAATTCCTCAAAGATACAAGGTTTATAAATAAATACGCAATCAGTGGCGATAAGATAAAAAACATTTGGAAGGCCAAATCAATTATGCAGTTCCAGAGTGAGAGGAATATATGTGCATATAGTAAAGCGTCCATACAATATTAGTCAATGTCTGAAAAATATTAACTTTTTTGTATGAGGCTTAGAAACTGGTGAAGGACGAGGTTCACCGAACCCTTCAACTGTTTCTTGCCGAATACAAAAAAGTTGCTATTTTTCTGACATTTACCTGATATTGTTTTATACTGCTTATAAAAATGGCTTATTTTTTATACCTTTATAGAAATGGAAATGTTAAGTTTTGTAATCTTGAGGTCTTTTACTGCTTACTATACGGTAAGGGTTTTGCTTGTTGTTGAAGGTAGTAGTTAAAACCGTTGTTTTTTATCTTTTGTGGATAGAATCCATATTTGCATACACTTTATACTGTATTTTAACTTAAAACTTCATAATTAATTGTTGACTTGTTTCTAAATCATTTAAAAATTTAGATTGTAATCAAGTTATAGCAGTATAATAAATCATTAGAACAAACTGTAGAAAAAACAGATGAAAAGAAATATAGTGGCTAATACAATATCGTTTTTTTTTCTCCCTGATGAATAGTTTGCAATGATACCACATTTCCTTATTAGATCGATACTAAGCACAAAGGAAATCGATAAAAATGACAAAATACACATAGTACCTAACCAAGAGTACCTGCAGTTACTTAAAACTAGTTCAAAGCCAATTTAAACTCATATATAAACCATCTATTCGCAGACCTGTCTTTTATTTCTTTTCTAAAATTTTAATCCGGTTGTAATGGGGTTTTATTTTCATGCTTACATAATCAGGGGAAATTATACCGTTTAAATAGTTCATTAAGCTACACGTATGACCAGATTGATGATTTTAACGATGTTAATTTTTTTACTATTGTCTAAATTTCATAGCAGACCATGTTATATACAAATCTTGAGATGTATCAATGAAGACTGTGTAAATGAAACTGCGACCGCTAACATTTTGAGACTTATGTCATTTAACACTGTATAGGGTTTAAAGTGTCTAACTTACTTTAGAATGAAGAGTTAACTGTCCCAGAGGTTTCATCAGCTCAGTAGTCAATACTTCGGTATCGACATGATTTATAACAAACTTTTCTTAAATAGTCCGTTTATAAACTTTAAAGAAACTAAGGTTTCAACTCCCTCAGGCAAAGTTGACCTTAGATGGATTGGCTATTTTTTATGTATTTTTTTTTTTTTCATATAGTTCTTCAACTGTTTCGGTTCTTATACATCCTCGGCTTTCAAATATTCGGCTTTAAGCGTTCCTGATGAAGGTAAATCTAGAAAAGCGCCTTGGACGCATGAAATTATTTATCGTGTTGTTTTCATTTTTTTCACATTATGTGGTGTGTTTATGATATGTACGTACGCTCCATCCACCTCCATCGACTTCCATATTGCAATAAACTTTGATTCCATGCACATTATCTGGGTATATTGTGTGGATACCTGTCTTCTTGTTTAGTTTCTTTAAATCTGTGCACTCTCTTTGTTGATTCAAAGGCGGACCCTCGCAAATATCTACTCATTACAGAAACAAAACATTGATTTGGTAAATGTATTTAGTAAAACAAAACATATTTAAAATGTAGGATGTCATTGTTACCATCTTCACAGTGAGAAAAGTAGATATACCTGAACCGAATATTCCACCCAGGTCCAAGTGTGTATTCTATACTCACGGAAAACGATGGATAATGCATTTTTTTTTATCACATAAAGCTAAGTTGTTTTTTGCTGTGACTTCAAATGATTTACGACGATAACATTTTTTGCAATCTGTACTGCTGTATCATCACATATACTTGATTTATAAATCCTTACATTTGCCTTCCATAAACATGCACCATAGATTACCCGAACAAATTATAATGTACATTTTTCGGATGCTAGATATAATTTCCATGTGTATTAGGTATATATTGTATTATTCGTTATTTTAGTTAAGTAGAATCATCAGATTTAAAGGGAACTCAGTGACTTGTTTGCATCTTCTGTCGTTTGTTCATAAGGAACTGTCACTGTAACGAGGTGAACTATACCTTTTTATTTCAATTGCTTACCTATACATTTAGCAATAGAAAGGGATAGAATATCAGCACAATTTATGATATTTATGACCTGACAGGTATCACGATACCCAACATACCTTGAACATCTTTTCTCAACGATGTAATAATTTCTGGAGCTTCCTTGTGATCCTTTAGCTCTAAATTTTCATGAATAAAGAGTGTTAGTGCAGGGTAAAAAAATATGTATTCAATAGCATTTAACAATGAAAATGTCTTGGATCTTGAGAGCCTAAAAGATATTCTAATATGACATCTTTCTTTCGCTTTGTAGCTATGTTCTAAATTTCGTTATCCATGGGGTGCATATATGTGACGTCATAACTAAAAATCCCATCGACAGGTGTATTTTGAACGTCGACGGAGATGATTCTAGAAATTTATGTTGTTTGCTGAGAAATTCAAAAACATCATTCTTTAAAGTCAGCTTACATGTACATGTATTTGTATACTTTTCATCGTGAACTGTTGGTTTTTGAGAGCGTTTGTCGCTTCGTCAAATCAAAATGGATGACGTTCTATGGTGTTCGCTTCAAAGTACCAAAGTTCCGAATTTCACTATTAGAATACAAACTCATGTTTCATGTTTACGCTTTATGCACATTTTAACATGGGTAGAAATTATATTTGTCAACATTTTAAAGATATTGACAAATATAATGCCTATACATGTATAAATGAGCTAAGACCATGAGATGAATATGTTTTTTTTTTGTAAAATTTAAAACGGGTGCTTCAGATGCGTCGAATAGTGCTCAATATGGCATTTATCACATTTATATATGAGGATTTTGATGGGGAGGCCTTAAAATTTGTATTCTTTAAATTATTAGGGTGTTTTTCTTTAACTTTAAAATTAACCATTATTCTGTAAATTTTTCATGAGCATGATTTTACTATTGACCTTTTCTGTAATTATATGATTTTTTTAAGTGCTGTACAATATTCATGTCTGTTATCAGTATTTTGCAAACTTGAATTGCTACAGGTTGTGGGTTTAAACTTTTTATACGGTGCTTTTAATATTCAATGAACAATGCTGACAAAAACAAACCTGATGTCAAAAAAATACAATTGAATGATGATATGAAGGTTTTTACTGCATGGAAAATATTCAGCTGACGATAACAGTTCAATTGAAGCATTCATATTCACAGTAAAATTAGTGTACTATATTTGTAATTCGTAAAAATAAAACTAACCTTCTGTAATCCATTTAAATTCTTTCTCTATGTGTTTGTTTAATTTGATTACTTCTTTGTAGGTTGCAAGTTCTTAAATCGAAAAATAAACGATTCTTGTTTATACATGGACACACATACTGTTTAAATATAGACAACGGGAATTTGGTAATAGTAATATTTTTTTCATATTGGTCGTACTGTTTCTATACCGATTTCTATACGTCTTTATTACGCTTCTACTACGATATTGATACGATTATACTACGATGACGAAGACAATAGTACGCTGCTACTACGCGCTTATCCTTAGTACGACCTTACTACGATGCTACTACGTCCTAGCCACGATAATTGCACGACCTCATTCTGTTGATATAAAAAAACGGATGCAATAACTTCTACCTGTATAGTTCAACCATGGACACACATTAGCAAAACCTACTTCTGCAATCTTTAATTCAGCTACACTGTATCGATTTGGGTGATCAGGCTACACTTTTAATTATTAGAAGAAGGAGAAGGACATACTAGACAGCGTAGATCCTGTTAGGTGCTCCCTTGGCTTTCTATTGACAGAAGACTGCAATTTGGGCATTACGACCGACTTATGAAAGAATTAAGGATGCCTCCATAAATGTTTGTTGAACTCTTGAACAGAGTAAGTCCTCGAATTCAGAAGATAGACACCCGATTCAGAAAGGCACCAGATTCCGATCTAAAAGTTGCCAATATCTTAAGGCACTTAGTTTCTGGTGATAGATAGCCAATCCTTTGGTACCATTTCAGAGTCGCGATCAATACCGGGGTACTAGTATAAGTACTTTTATTCCTGAGGTTTCCCAGGCAATTGTACAGAAATATAAAGATGAAGTCATATCCTGTCCAACAGAACCAAATGAATGGCGAGCTATTGCCGAAGAATTTCAGAGAAAATGGAATGTGCGACACGCTTGTGGCGCACTCGATGGAAATCATGTTGCTATTAGAAGCCCGTATAAAAGCGGTTCCTTGTTTTATAACTATAAAGGGTTTTTTTTTCATTAGTGCTCCTTGAATTGGTTGATGCAGACTACAATCTTTTATGGATAGATGTAGGGAGGATATGGTACCATGTCGGACGCCCAGATTTACAACGCGTCAGAATTAAAGGAGTGTTTGGAAGGTAAGACTTAAGATCCTTGACCTAGTGGCGACCTGAACATGTCATACTTCATCTTGGGTGACAACGCATTTAGTTTGAGAACTTGTTTAATGAAGCCATATTCTAGAGTGCAGTGACAACGTAGTGGAAACGTAGTAAAGTCGTGGTTCGATCGTAGTAGACTCGTATTGAGATCGTAATGCGATCGGGAAGGTCTTGGTAGAAGCTTACAGAGATCTTGTAAGTCTTGGTAAGGTATTATTAGACGTAGCAAGAGCGAGACAAGATCGTTACTTGAACGTGTATCGTAGAGGAATTGCAGCAGGATCTTATTAGTATCATGACAAGGTCGTGGTATGAACGTGAAAAATATGAAATATTCAATATTCAATCCGACCATATCACGATCTCACCGCGATCTTGTTGTTTATAGATCGTAGATCTTCATGGTCTTGGACTTGTGTGACGAGGGCTTATATATATATGTGTGTAGTTTACATCGATATATGGAATTCAAGTCAATTCTGGCAATAGAGTATTTGTAGATGTCTCTTGTCAAACCAATCGAGAATACCAATTTATAAACTGTAGGAACATGTAGATTTGCAAACCTTTATTCTTGACCGAAATATAAAAGTTAAAAAGAAAACAATTCTATTTCTGGACAAATGACAAATGAGACCGTTATTATTAGAAACAACACAAACATTGAAAAGAAAATTTTACAGGTACAACACTGAAAACGTAAAGTTCAGTAAAACACGGGAAGTTCGAAAGGTGAACAGTTTCTGCTCCATAACAGAGCAAACTAGATAGTGGTGACGGCTACTATTGTGGTCATCAGTGACACAGACATTATTAAAAGGGCAAACAAATTATGGTTGCATCAGCAAAACTTTCAAGGAGGTTACGTCAAGTTAACCATTACACTCAACTTTTTTCAGCGGTTGCAAGCCACTTTTTCTGAAAACAATGTTATTTTGAATCAGGATGACACAATCACTTTAGTATAGTAAATAGCCTTTTGATGTTCTAAAACAATATCATAAAAACTGAAAATGTAATTTACACTACTCAAGCATCACCGCACGCCAAACTTTGTACAATAGAAAGCCTGATTGAACCTTAGAAACAATTTGTCACGCCCTCATAAATTTGCGTCCTATCAACGACCTTCAGTAAGCTTTCAGCAAAATTATTTCACACACAAGTAACTGTATTTTCTTAACAATTCAAACATGAAATGAGTTCAATTTGTTTCTGCATTGAACATGTCATAAAGCTACGAATTCATAACCTTAATGCATTTATTATATATAAAGCTCCATAAGGGGGCGGACCCCCTAGCCGTCCCTTATCCGACTCTGGAAAAAATGTTAGTCTGAATAAAATATTAAAAGTTATGTCCAGTGTTTTCTTGACATGTTGAGATGTTTCAGTACTTGTTCTGTGTGTAATGACGTCAATTTAAGTTTAATTTAATAAGTTGGATTTTAATATTCGCTCAAAAAAGTGTTTTTGTTTTGTTTCTCTGATATTTCCCTAGCTAGGTAGCTATAAAACCAGGTTTAATCCACCATTTTCTACATAAGAAAATGCCTGTACTAAGTCAGGAATATGACAGTTGTTTTCCATTCGTTTGATGTGTTTTAGGTTTTGATTTTGCCATTTCATAAAAGACTTTCCGTTTTGAATTTCCCTTGGAATTCGGTATTTTGTTATTTTTATTTTTCCCATTACCCTCTGAAATCAAGTTATTTTGAAGATGAATTATTTAACATATTTAAATCAAACATACCAAACGTGCGAGACCCTTATGTGTAGTCAAGGTCGTTAAACACCCCCTAGTAGTACTATCAAACATTTCAAATTTTAACCCTGTGTTTATAAATACCTTTGAAAATACAACATCTAACAAAATATAAACATTGCTAGAAAAAAAATGAGCCTCTCGGTCTCAGGTTTAGATTGAATATGTTTTTATTGTCCGATATTTGATTTTCTGAGGTAAACAATAGAAAGTCCTTTTAAAAATATCCTCATGACAAGAACGAAAAGTGGCGAAAATTTCAAAATACGAGCGATGATTTCTAATCATATAATATACTTTTAATGAATTTTCTAAATGAAAAACTATCAATTTAGACATTTCTTATCCCGATTACTTCTTTGTTAAAACTATAATACAGTATTATATGGAACATAGAACACCGACCCGATAAGTAAAATGAAATATGGTAATTGTTTCATGATGTTTATTTGGTCACCATTTGTGACTTTCAACCGGTTGAGCACTTAAAACTCGAGAAAACTCAAATATCAAGATTTGAACAATCTCATAACATCCAGGCATAACATAATTGTTTAACTTTCAAGTCGAAAGGAAAGAGAAAAAAAATAGATTTCATAGAAAAATGCACTTCGATTGTGTTTTTTTTCTTTCTTCAGTGCAAGCTATTTTGCACGTGCGGTCATTTTTATAGTTGTTTTTTTTTCTCAACACTGGAGAATTTAAGATTGAAACATTATTTTTTTTTCAATTATCATGTTTTTAAGGAAACTTTGATTACGTTTAAAATGAAAATTGTGTAATATACTAATTACATTTACATATATCCTAATTATCTGCGACCATAGTTAGAGAAAGATTGTTGCATTCGAGATCGCATATTATGGGTCAGGTACCACTGGGTCGATACCTCTGCTGGTAGACTGTTAGTCCTCGAGGGTATCACCAGACCAGTAGCCAGTACTTCGGTACTGGCATGAAAATACGAATTTTGTCTGGATAAAATTTGCTGTTATAAAATTTTTGAAATTATTTTAAATTAAGAAAGATATCTCCCCCATGCAAAGATCTGGTTCCTTGTCCAGATTTTGCTATAATACTTTAGGTCCTTTTTGGTTTGATCCGCTCTTCAACATTTGAATTAAATTTTGGATATTCAAATATTTTGGCCTCAAGCATCACTGAAGAGACCTTATTTGTCGAAATGCGCATCTGGTGCATTAAAATCGGTACTGTTTATGTTATCATGTAATGAATTAATTTTATAAATTTGTACTTTCCCCTTTATCTGTGGGCATTCCACTCCCTTTTGAAATTCTAAATCGATTATGAAGTACATGCACGAGTAAGTTTGTCTGACGTGAAAACACATTGTCCAATATCTCACGGCTTCATTTACACACACATTGCACTGAATCTGTATAACATTTGAAATTTTGTTTATCGAAGAAACACCAATTTTACAATATATTACAGTATATTTAGTGATACTTGTAGTACGTGACACGCGATTGAATGATAACTCATCATTTTATAAAGGCGAGTCAAACTGTCACAGGTACAAATGTTTCCAATCAACTGTTCTATCGGACAAAGCTTAACGTATGGGGATGCTTGAATGTCTTAAGACACTGTTATATCAACACCAAACAGTAATATACTTTATTGTCTAAGTTGTGGACTACTGATTCAAAATAATATAGATTTCGACAACGAGCTTTGTAACCGCGGAGAAAAAGTTGAGTATAAGAATTCTTGTTTCAATAGATGTTAGTAGGAAATATATATCATGGAAATCAGAATATAAAACGCTAGTCTTTGGCTATTGTAGGTTCTACAGGAATCTTGTTTCATAGAAATCGAATTTTCACATTGGTAACAATAGAAACATGATCTCTTTTTGTTTTTCCGATTCAATTTCTTAAACGATATTCGCTGTCAATTTCTACATTTAAAAGACTCAAGATATGAAGCAAACCTAAACATATTAACCCCACCACATTTCTCAATTGAATTGTTTCATATTTTTCATATTGGGGCCTTTTATAACTGTCTATACGGTATGGGTTTTTCTCATTGTTGAAGGCCTTGCGATTGCCTATAATTGCACACATCCACTTCATTTGAACTTGGGTGGATAGTTGTCTCATTGGCAATCATACCACATCTCCTTATTTTTGTACTGACTGTGTCTCTTGGATCGTTTTTGCATGTAATACTTGAAATATGTGAACAAAAAGTAAAATCACAAAAATACTGAACTCCGAGGAAAATTCAATCGGAAAGTCCCTAATCACATGGCAAAATCAAATGACAAAACACATCAAACGAATGGACAACAACTGTCATATTCCTGACTTGGTACAGGCATTTTCAAATGTAGAAAATGGTGGATTGAACCTGGTTTTATAGCGCTAAACCTCTCACTTGTACGACAGTCTTATCAAATTTCGTTATATTTACAACGATGCGTGAACAAAACAGACATTATAAATAAAATAGTCAAAATATGGGTACAGCAGTCATCACTGTGTTACAATATCAAAACAAACAATTATTTACAAAAAAAGCACAAAAGCATCTATCAAATTAAGACCCACATTCATTGCTTCGCGTGTCTGACGTCAGAAAATGTAAACGTCACATAAGAAAAAAGTTTGTCATTCAATGTCTATTCAAAACAATTTTATAATTTCACATGGGGAATGTTGGTATACAGGGTTAAAAAATCAAAAGTTATGTTAGAATTAATTTCAGAAATAGACCGAGATTTATAATTGTCCAGAAGTTCTTCAGAACCCTTAAGAATCCACATGTGGTAAATACCACTACGCGAGTAAAATAAATTTGTCGTTTGTCGTTCAAAGTATTTTCAAATTTATAATAGAACAATAACATAATGACATATAATAGAACAATAACATAATGACGGGATCTTTTAAAGTACAGAGTCACGTTATAAGAACCACAGAAACACAAAAAGTCGCATATACAAAACACACCAGTAAAAATTAAAGATAATACAAACACATTGACGGGATGTATAAGTACCTAGCCACGTCAAATGGATATCACAGAAAACAACATAGTTATAAAGTGTGAATATCTCAGTGGAACTTGATGTTAAAAGATAATCAAAGCTTGTTTTCATTCTTCTTGGGGAGGACACTGTATGACATAAACAATTTAGCTAAAAAAAGAGGAGCACAGTCTGTTTCAGTAAGAATGCCTTCTTCCTGTTAAAAACAACATCCACTTAACGTCATAAGTATGCGGCCAGTAAAATTTTAAAATATTATGAACTCTGACGGTTTTTTTACCAATTCATTTATCGGATAAACTTTAAATAGAGATGTAGATACCAAAGGCATATTCAAACTCATAAATCGATGACAAACTATGGCGAAAAATATAAAACACAACATAGAAACTAAAGACTGGGGAAAAAGAACCCCACCACAAACCGGGGGTGATCCCAGGTGTTCCGGAAGGATTAGCAGATCCTACTACATATGTGCCACGCGTCAGTTTATAAATTATGTTGATAAGTTATCTCAAGTGATATTTCATCATACAATAGCGGATTGGTAATTGTCTATTTTCTAACCCTGAGACCCCAACTTTTGTCATACTTTTTGGGTTCAAGTCATAGTTATGTAATGTACACTAAGATGAATAGAAATGTTTCATATAGATCAACTTACTCTTTATAATTAATTGTTTTTTCTGTTGCATTTCTTCAACTGTTTCTCTATGTGTTCGGTGGCATTTTCCTGAAAATAAAATCTGATATTCATTCAGAACATAAACAATATATATTATAAAAGATATTATACATGTCATTTTATTTTGTCTTTTATAAATACGCATGGTATCTTTGATGAACATTTATTTTTCTGAACAAAGAATAAAGGGGGGTAATTGTTTTACCTTGTATATAATGCAAGATATCATTTATTTGTACAGGATATTCTTGAAGTTCTCTTTTGATGTAATCATCTACAAAAGAAAAGTATATTGATTCTAATTTTCATGAGTAGAATATATTTCATAGATTAATAATTTTATAAAAAACAAAATCCCTAAACCAACAATAGAATTTCCTTTAAAATGCAAGAAAACCTCCTCTTATAATTCCAATATAAACTTCAGCGGAAGAAAAATATGAAGCAACAGTAGTTTACAATGCTAAAAAATCATAAATACATTCAATGTACAAATCCAGATAAAAAAAACTAAATCTGAGGAAATTGAATTAACTCCAAACAAGGCGACACTAGGTGCGATGACAAGATATGCGTGAGTGCTGTCTCCTGCTATGCATTATGCATCAGCCGCCTTGTGAAACCAGAATCAGCCAAACTGGCACAATAGGGATTATGACACAATCGGTAAATTTACAGATCAGTCGACTACCGGTATTCTGGTATCTAAAATATATAACACCATAAAATATCTAACACCGCGAAAACATGCCACTTTTGAGCTGAGACAGAGAAACAACGCTACGGTCAACGACTTTGTGATAGTGACCGAAAACTTCGATTTCAGTCATTCTTTCTCATAATCATGGTGGAACAGGATTTTTGTCTGGAGCACATCATTGTTAATGAAGTTTGCATAATGTGGGACAGAGGACAGAGGATATATTACTGCTGAGAAATGAAAAGTTGACGTTTGTCATAGATCTTAGTTTAAAATGTAGTCGTCCATCCGTGTCAATATCAAGAAAATGAATAGAATATGAAGCATATTTTCCAGTTTCGGGAGCATCCTTAATTTCAAGTTCACTTGGAATTATGAGATACAAATATTCAAAAAGCTTTCTAATTGAAAACAATGTAAACTTCAACAGAAGAAAATTCGTAGACAACATAAGTTAAATTAATTATTTTTCGATTGCAAAATAAAAAAAATCCAAAGTTTATTGACAATGTGGGAAATATGAGTATTAATCTCTCGTCATTGGTTCTTAAAACGAAAGGCATTATATCCGAATGTTAAAAAACTTCATTTGCAAAGAACCTAAAATAAACTCTAAGAAGGACGACTGAACAAGCTAAATTACAATATCTAAAGGTTGATGAAATGTTTCATTTACATCCTTTTGTTCGCTTAAAATTTAATAAGTATTAATTTCAGAAATATCACGCCAGTACAAAACTTCCATTTTGTAACATTGCAGAATGACAAAACTGCAATCGCTGTAGCCATGCAAATACCAAATGATGTCTACATTGAAAATGAGTGTTGTCATATAAGACCTTTAACCAGTAACCACGTGGGTTTATTCAATTGTATTATAGTATTTAAATACAAGTATAATGTCTACATGCAAAGAAAACAAAACGTTGAATAAAAACGGGAAGATATCTTTTTTTTTCAAATATAGTCCTTTCTGAACATAATTGCCAAATATCTTATCGTTTAATAGTGTTTTACTCCTACGGATAGGTATGGTCAAATAAAGTTTAATCCTGGCCTTTCCTCAGGACAGATCTTCCACACCAGTTCAGACCTGCTACAGGCTGCCGCATTTTGACTGTATTTTATGACATGTCTGCTATCGATTGATCATTGCATTGCAGTAATACTTATATGGACCATATGTGGATAAATCAGAAGTATAACACTTTTCACAACCGAATATACACTCTTTTTTAAATTGTCTAAGTACAAGTAGAAGATATTAATGCAATAAAGAAAATCAAATTTTGGCGGGTTTTTTTTCTGATGTCACAAAAAAATCTACATACAAGTACTAAATCTAACGCTTATTTCTGAGTATGAAAATCTAACATTATTTTAAAATGTTAACGTTTAATGATAATTTTCAGTTTATTTGTAGCTTTATTTTGTGAATTTAAAATATTGTCAATTAGATTGTGCTATCCTGTAAATATTTTGTTTTTCATTCTTTTGGACATCAATGTTGCGACAAATGAAGAAGAGAAAAAGCAGAAAGTCTGATAGCATTTTTCATAGTTGCAATGTTTGAACATTTACCTTTAGCACGAATTGAATTGACTTCAAGAGGCCCAATTATTATAGAAATAAATCCAATAAACAACTTCATCTTTGATCATAGGTAGTCAAAATGTTTTACTATGCAAAAAATGCTAAAACCAATGTTGGCAAATTAATAATTGTTAAGTTGCGTGTATGCGACTTCAAGTTACTAATAGGTACAAGTACAATAAATGTATTATATTTCCATTATATTGATTCATTTGTATTTAAGTATAATATTGTAATCATAATTTCATGGTACTTATTCAGTTATCTTGTTTACATAAATTTAAAAAAAATAAAATGCTTGAACTTTATCTAAATGCATAACATAATATATTTCTTAATTTTTGCAGCATTACATTATCCCCGTTCGGCAGTAAACCCCTTGCTGAAATGAGGCGTCCGCTTGGCTGTGCGGTCAAAATTGGGACGTTAAATCAATATGTCTAGGTCTTTGAGGGCCCGTGGGTGGTCAGGGGCAAGACAAAATGACTAAACCTGGCTATCCAACATACATAGATACCTTCATTTCCTAGTGGCTGTCCAAATGTCACTCCCTTCATCATCGGTCAACATGCCTTGCAGAACCTGCTTTTTGTGTGGTGTCCAGAAGAATATGTAAATATATTATTTGCACTGGACGTTAAGGTCAATGTAAATTGAATGGGCTACAAATGTATTTCACAGATTTTAATGATTTAAAATAATAATAGGGTCACCGACTTAGTTTTTACGGTGTACATCATTTAAAGTGGTGTTCTAGGTGAAAGAAAATACCGCAAATCGTCTAAATAAGCATAACGTCATAGCGTTGTAAGCCGTAACACATTACTAAGTAGGTAATTGATTGGTTATTACACATAAAAAGAAACAGAAACTGATGTGTCAACAAAATATCAATTTTCAAGAAAAAATTCTGAGATTTAATGATTTTAAGACAAATTTAAGAACGTTTTTCGCCAACTTTATGTATATATAAAATCATTGTTCACCCTTTAAAAAACGGTTAGTTATATTTCAGAAAATAAAACAGATAAATGCATTATTTTTTTCTATTTTCATTTATAGTTCAACAAACCAAAGTTGTATGCAAAATTTTACCTAAATTTGTGGCATATCCCATTTCCTGTACATTGACCTTAAGTAAGCATCGGGTCAGTTATTGCTATGCAGTATCAGTGTTGGCCATTATTTTTAAAACTGAACAGCGACATATAGTTGCTACCATTTACAGCTTTTGGTCTCTGGTGGATAGTTGTACTCATGGCCAATGATACCACATCTATCTAATATTAATCTATTAATAGAGAAGTAACACATTGCATTGGTTCGCAACAGGACGTTTCATTTAGGTAAATAATATTTTACGTATCGTACAAGTGTGGACACAGATCAGTGTGGATAGTATGTTTGAATGTTTGACTGTTTTATATGACAAAAGAAGTTCTATGTTTTTTCCCATAGGGTTCTATGTTATTAACTGTGTTGCACAATGACAACCAACCTGAGCATTAGGAGTGTTGTTTATTTAATATTTAGTTTTGTATGTTCAAGACGGGCATGGAAGAGACACTTATTGCATTAATCACCAAATGATTATGATAGAATATGTTCCACATCTTTGATTTTGGATACATTTTGTAGCTAGGAGAGGAACACATAATAGGTTCATTTTTTCATGATGTGATTTTTTTTATATGGGAGATGGTATCTGAGAACATGTATTTGCTTACTATTTGTATGGTTCTATTTATATTACTTTGTGGTGGATCATCAGTATCATAAGTAAAAGTTTCCGTTTAAATGTCGAAATTATTTCTCAGATTAGAAGACATTTAATTAATGGTTTTTAGTAATGACAATGCCTGACATGATGCTTGGGGCTAGATGAGCTAAAAAGTAAACCTCTGTGTTATTTTTTATTAATTCTTTGAAAATATCTCCTCTAAAGCTAGTCAAAGCAAAAAAAAAGTTTTGACCAGTATGAAAATGATATCAACAAAAGAACCTTTGTGAGTATGCTTCAAAGACTCATAACTGCTACAGAAGTAATCTGATAAAATTTCAAGTGGATATGAACATCTACTTAATATGTCTAAAGATCTAAAAAGTTATAGTATTCAATATGAAAAGGAATTGCAAAAATATTCTCTTTTCAATTTTTTTTTATATGGATACAAATATAAGTGATACCAATACAGTAAGGCAGTTTTGTTGTGGTATGAAAGTGTACTGCAGTAATTAACATTTACTGTTAATCCACACAAATTAAGAAATAAACAAATTTAATGATAAATGTTGAACATGTACAATGAAATATAGTTTTAGAAATCAATTAGGCCAGATAGGCCTTATGAATTTTGGTCTTTTTTTTTAACATACTGAATGACCCTTTACACTCAGGACTGAGTCGTCAGTAGGCAGTACAGATGTATAAAAATAAAGTGTAACAAAACAAACTAGCATCATATTGCTAATAGCACGAGTAGCATTGTTTGGTAAATTTGTGCTTTTTTTTAAATTTGGCTAATGGACAAAAAATGTTTGGTTCAAATCTAAATAAAATGCTTTTATCTCCCTATTACTTACATTGTACATAGAATGAATACTACTTTGACAATTCCTTGTACATGAGAGTTGTCTGTCAAATCTTTATTTCACAAAGAATGAATAACATAACAATCAACTGAGCTCAAAGCAAAGCACTTTCATACTACACTTAGACAAAGAGCTCAATCCAGTTATATACTTTGTACTACAGGTCCTTCATGAACATCCATCGACCAAAACCATATCTCAATAACATGCCATACTACATGGTTGGATCAGAAGTCCTGAAAAAGACATGAAACTTTCACAAATTTGTGGTTAAAGCATTCAGTTTCTAGCAACTATCAATCGCTTTATGCACAAATTGATATAGGTTGAGTGCCCCTCTGTCGGAAATAAGAACATACCTCCACCTAATTTTAGTTAACTGATCAAGAAACATTCAAAACTATAAAATGTTATCTAAGACTTGTCAGTGTCTATTTACCATCACCACTGAATCAATAATATATGTATACATATATAACACTAAAACTGACATTCGGTCTTTACTCCACCTTCATTCCTCAAGTCAAAGCTCAAATCTGACTTCATGATAAAATAAGATTCCATATCTACAACCAATGAAATACCCCTCTAATTGACTAGCCGCAATGAAATCCCAGTTTTCTAAAATGGTAGGTGGAACCTAAAATATTTTAAACGATATATTTTAGATATTGCTTATACATTTCATAATAATTCTTCTAAAAAATTCGCTATATTTTTCCTTATTTTGTCTTTTGTTTGAGACTATATATTGACCTCTAGATGTCTTTCAATTACATCCAGGTTGGCGTGGGTTGATGTCTGATTGTTGTACATGTAATATATCGACGTGGGATTTGTTTATATAAATAACAACTATTACCTAAAATACAAATAAAATGGATGTAAGAAATTATAGGCAACCATATGCATACCACCTTCAATAAACAGCTGCGCCATGAGCGCATGATACCCTCGTCACATTTACAAAGAATAAAGTTCAATTACTTCTCAATGTCAGATTAGAAATTGATGAAAATCAAAAAGGGAGCTTAAGCTACATCAATAGATATAAACAATTCACCAAGGTTTAATGAGAATTGCTGAAAACATTATCCGAAACTGGGAAATTCCCCCTTTTTAATATATAAAACCCCATAACTTGGAATTGTAAAATTTATAAAATTCTAAAGGCAGCAGCTTACATCAATAGATATAAACAGTTCATCAATATTTCATGAGAACTGCTGAAAGATTTTTGAGTTATAGTCTGAAAACTGGAAAATCCCCCTTTTTTTAAGAATAAACTCGGAAACGTAAAATCTAAAATTTATAAAAAAAAAGAAAAGGAGCTCACGTCAATAGATATAAACAATTCATCAAAGTTTTATGCAATTTTATTAAAGCGTTTTTAAGTTAATTTCTGACATGTTGACAACGGACGGACAGACAGGCGGACAACTGTATACCATTATACGTCCCGTAAACAGGCGTATAAAAATGAGAAAACTCCATACTGTATATTCTGCTGTAAAAAAGCCCAACATGTTTATATTGGGATTCAGTTTATATTGTATAAAGATTCAAGATTTATTAAAAAAAAACCTTTCATGACATCATAATTATTTGCATTTGTTCTGTTGATTGATAGTGGTACATGTAAGTCAATTATATATAGTTCTGATCAACAGTTTCAAGGTAAATAAGTTGTAGTAGGTTGTTTGAAGTTTGCAGCATTTTCAACTTTGAACATCTTTTTCAGGTCTGCAATCCATATAAAAATCAGTATATGTCATATGCCAATGAGACAACTATCCACAGAGGTTCAAATAACAAAGTAATTATAGGCAACCATACAGCCTTCAAAAATGAGAAAAAAAACCAGTCCAGACATGTTAAATATGCAACAACTTAATTGAGAAAAGTAATGGCCTGATTTACAACTTATAAACAACAGGTTGGGACCCCCCCCCCCCCCCCTAAAAAAAAAGTTCGAAAGAAGATAAAAAGAAGATAGGCCCTTTCCAACTTATAAAGGGGGATCTGGAGGGGATTCATTACATATAAAAATTACAATACATTTATGTAATATATATGATTGCCAATGAGCATGATGAGACAACTATCCACAGAGGTTCAAATGACATAGCAATTATAGGCAACCATGCATACAGCCTTTAAAAATGAGGAAAACTGTCCCGACATGAAAAGTATGCATCATTACAATTGAGGAGTAATGGCCTGATTCACAATTCCACTAATAAACAGGTTGGGAACATCCCCCCCCCCCCCCCCCCAATGGATATTTTGCGGTTTTAAAAAAAGGAAAAACAGATGTAGCCTTCTTAACTTATAAAGGAGGGGATTCATTACCATAGGAACAACTTTTCTAAAAGATGATTCCACTTATTTTCAATTAATAATAAATATTGAAGTGTATCTCAGGCATCTGGGAACAGACTTAACAGTACATCTATACATGTATTATTATATTCCAAATTGGGGAGGCAT